TGTAGAGAAGGTCGTAAGAAGTTGTTATTGAGAAGAGGATAGTGTTAGAGCAAGAAACGTAGTAGTGTATAAAGCGAGTGCGAACTAAATGAACCCTGAGCAGAATTGAGTGTTGAACACTCTACATTCATTAACCTCATGACAGAGAAGAACCTGGGCAAGGCAGTAACTCTTGCAGAACCAAGTTAGACAAGACAGTAACTCTCACAGAACCAAGCTGTAAAGACAGCAACTTTTGTAAGTAAGGCTATTAGTAAAGTCGAAATTAGTGTTGAAAATAGAGACATATTATTGAGATGATGAAGAAAGCATTGATCAGTTGATGTGTGTGTTGTGAATAAAACAAGAGAATGATGAGAACATAGAGGCATATACTATGCGTTATGATAGTTGAGTAATGATATTGAATAGTGAAGTTCTGGAAGATGAGAAGAGGTTCTGGTACATTTTTAGTTTGAAGCATCGTGATGAAATCGAATCTTTTCTACCCAAACGTATGATCAAGCAAAAGAATTGGCATTGAAGATGGAAGTGGAATTGATAGATAAAAAGGATAAAGTAAAGAACGTGGTTAGTACTATTGATAATAATGAATCAAATGAATTAGAAAAGAACAAAGTTGAGGACTTACTAGTGACAAATGATGATGGTGTTGAAAAAGATAAAGAAAAAGTATTCATTCATTATTGAGAACTAGCAGATATAGAAATGTATAATGATATTTGTGAAACTATTAGTGATTGTTGTTGAAATAAAATTGAAATTAAAATCGATGAGTCTGGTGGAATGAAATCTTGTGAAGTTGGTGTTAACATTGATAAAGCATCTATACATTACCAAAAATCTGATAAAACAGGAATTTCTAATGAAATCAACAATCTTGGATGAAGCGATCAAGATCAGTGTTGTCGTTTCTACTATGTCCAAGACTTTTTTGCCAATGTCCATGTCCAAATATCCACAGTGTCCACAACTGTCCAAAGAATATTTAGACTTTAAAATTTAATATATTAGTTTAAAACAGATATGATTATATATTTTTTATAGTTCTGAATATTTTTACTTAAAAAATTAAAATAGGTTATCTTAATAAATTTTTAAGTAATTTAGATTTATTTTTTTGTTCAAAATTGTCCACAATTGTCTACAAATTGTCCAAAGCTGTCCTGTGACAACACTGATCAAGATAGCATTAGGGTCAAAAAATGAGCTTGTAATCTTTGAATATGGTGTAAAAGATGATGATGATGGTAATAATGTAAATAAGGATAATACAATAGACCGTTGTAATGAAGCAGGAGTTGACCAAGATAAAAGTATAGCTTTTAAATAGTATATGAAATCAACAGAGCTGGGTGATAATAATGGAAATAAAAATGATGAATGTAAGACGTTTGTTAATTATCAAAAATCTGCTAAATTGAATAATGATGAAGAATCATATATTGTTGGACGTTGTTATCAAAATGAAATAAGAGTTGAAATGAATGAATATACGCCATTCACTTATCTTCAAAAATCTGCTAAAGGTGATCATATGGCATTCGAATGGTATTTAAAAATCGCTAATAATAGTTATCAATATCGAATCAGTGTAGCAATAGATGAAGTAAAAGGTCTTGATAGACAGGATGATATTGGATGGTGTTATCAATATGAAATAGAGATTGAAAGGAGAAATGAAAAAGGTAAATAGTTAGTGATAGATGAAGAAAATGACGATGAGGGTGTAGATCAAGATATTAGTAGAGAATGATATATTAGTTATTATCATAAAGATCGAATTGGAGCATCAAGTGATGAAAGATCTGGCAAAGGTGAAAATAGGACTAATAGTTTAAAGAAAGGATTAATGAATGAACGAAGTTCAGAGATAAAAAATGATGTAATGAAGATGATTGATCATGATGATGTTGGTCTTGTGAAGTTATCTATTATAGAGTGATAGATTAAAGCCGATAGTGATAGAATGTTGATCAAAAAGGTGTTTGCTTTGTATGATTCCAGAGGTAGATATCAACGTGATATGGATCATAATGCTGAAGTAGTACTGGAAGGAAATTTGAATATTAGTGTTGTATATGAAAAATATGTAATGATAGTGGTAAGGATTGAATAGATATTGTAGTACAATATTGTGAAGAGAATTAAGTTTTGTTGTAGAATTTTTGTATGTAATAATTTAGAGGATAGAGGTAGGTAGAAGATGAACTTTAGATAGAGAATATAGTTGTTACTGTTATGTTTTGAGGATATAAGAAAAATAATGTAGTAACTTCAGGGACAAAGTACTAGGAGATCTAGCTCGTGTAGTGATATTATATGAGTGCGTGAGAATAAAAACCTGGAACTGATTATAATGATTTACTATGATCAGTTACAGGTTTTTATTCTCACGCACTCATATGATATCCCTGTAATTTGTAGTGCCGGGGTTCAACAAATATCACGCGTCATAATCATGTTACTAATCATAGAACGTAATCAGATGTAAACAAATAAATAGAGATTCGATCTTGCAGATCGAACCCAAGCTTTGATTTCTTAAAGAATAACCTGTGTCTAGTAATAGTGACTTAGTATCTTGTGTAGAGAAGATCGTGAGAAGTTGTTATTGAGAAAAGGATAGTATTAGAGCAAGAAACATAGCAGTGTATAAAGCGAGTGCAGACTAAATGAACCCTAAGCAGAATTGAGTGTAGAACACCCTACATTCATTAATCCCACAACAATAATCCTTAAAAGTGATATAACTAGTATAGAGAGCAGCTATTGAGCAACCTGTACTCCAAATATTTTTTTAGATTTTGTATTAAAAAATTTCTCAACCTTGCTCATGGTTTGAGTTTGTTTATTTTTTGCTTCAGGAAATACCAGATTATAGCTGTTTTTATAAATTTTGAAATATCTGGTAAAATTATAGAAGTTTATCAATATATCTATATCTTTAAATATAACTTATAGGAGGTATGCTAATACCTAAATATTTTATAATTTTTTGAATTAATAAACTTTCTAAATTTTTTTTTCTATGGTAAGAATCATTCAGGGTTATCCTCCCAAAGTTTATATTAATTACTGCTGCAATATTTTAGTATTTTTTCATACTTTAGTATTTTTTCATTCAAAATATGCTAAAATATTAATATTGTCCAAACTTTACAGTAGAATATCATATGCTCTGTAGTAAAATTCAGATAATATTAATATTTTAGTATATTTTTAATGAAAAAATTCTAAGATGTTGCAGTAGTAATTGACCCAAACTTTGGGGTGACCCTGGCTAATTCATACAATAACTAGAAAATATACATAGTACATACTAGTTCAAATTTTTTTTTAACTAAAGATATGATCATGCAGATGATTTCACTGCCCATTATATATTAAAGATGGATTTGTTTATTTTATTCCTATTTTATTCTGAAAAGAAATTTTTTTAAGCATTTATGTCATTGGATGTTCTATTTTAAATTTAATGCACTAACTTTGGCCTCTCTGAAGCCAAAGTTGTGCATTAAATTTAAGAATAGAATATAGAATTTTTAAATCTAATATAGAATCAATTGTGAATATTTTTTATATCATGACATGAAATAAAGTATAAATAGAATACTTGAATTAAATCTAGAACTTTTTTTTTTTTTTTAAGGTGAGGTTTTGCCTTTATCTTTATTTAATAATTTGTATTGAGAATTCACTAGAGGTTT